TATTTGGCCATTTTATTTGTTGTGCAGGCTGGGTAATTCCCTGTCAAAGTTCGTTCTTCCTTATGAGTTACATTCGATTTTGTAACTTGTCGGCGCATTATGGGCATCATAAGAGATTTGTCACAGTGTTTGAGATGGCTCATTACATGAGCATCTTGTACTGGGTGAGGCGAGGTTATTGGACCTAGGATCAGTGCGATCAGAGTTATGTAGGGTATATTAAAGAGCAAATATTATTATTTGGTTCAGAAAGGTAATGGTTCTTGTCAGGAGGGGAGACTCTATGATTTATTGATTCGGAAGGTGGTTATGAGTTTTTACACCTCTCTTTCGTCATGGCAGCATCGCGAGAATTTGGAACATGGCTCACATGTGTTATGAGGCATATTACGGGCATCAGATTCAGGAATTTTTAACTGTTATGGTCAGAAGATGTATTATAGACATATGAATTATGCGGTGCATGGTGTGAATTCAACAAAGGTGTATAATCATGTTTGAGTATAGTGCGTAGTGATTTATATGGTGTTCACACGTTAGAATCAGGTTTTGTAAAGAAATACGGAGATTAAAATTTGGCGCTAAGGCTTATTGACTAAATAAAAAGGAGGATCTTCAGTCTGGCTCGAACTAATGGGCTCAACTGGGTTGTGGTGGAATGGATAGGTGCATAAGGTGTTGAACAGTGATTTTGGGGCAACTCTGGAGCAATTCTTAACACGTTCGAGGGCGAACGTATGTTTAAGTGGGGGAGAATGTAATGACCCGATCGGTTGTTTTGAGCTCCAGCACGTCGTTCAGCGGTTTGAGGCCTTGATTAGCTTCACTTCAGGTATTATGACTTGTACGTGTGGTCGGAGTTGAATTTCGGGAAGTTGGGAGTTGATTTGGAAAGAAAATTCTAAATTCGGAAGCTTTAAGTTGGAAGAGTTGACTAAGGTTTGACTTTTGAGTAAACGACCTCGGAATCGAGATTTGAAGGTTCTAATAGGTTCGTATGATAATTTTAGACTTGGGCATATGTTTGCGTTGAGTATCGGATCACCCGAGAGTATTTCGGCACTTATTGTGGAATGTTGCCATTTGGAATGCATTAGAATTTCCTAAGTTTGGTTTGAGGTGGACTTTAATGTTGTCGATATCCGTTAGGGATTCCGAGCCTTGGAATAGGTTCGTATTGTGATTTATGACTTGTGCACAAAGTTTGGCGTCATTCCAGAATGTTTTGATATGAATCAGACGCATTCGTCCAAGTTGAAAGTCTGAAAGTTTAAAGAAGGATTTCAATCGTCGATTCGTAGTTTCGAAGTTGTTTGGCGTGATTTGAGGCCTCGACTAAGTCCGTGTCGAGTTTTGTTATGTGTTCGTTTGTTTGGACGGGGTCCCGGGGGCCCCGGGTGCGGATCAGATCGAAAACTGATCGAGTTTGGGCTTGGAAGAAGTGCTGATGTAGCTGGGATCTGGTGCAATTGCACCTGCATGGAAAAGGCCGCAGGTGCGAGCCCGCAGAAGCGGCGTCGTGGTCGTAGAAGCGGTATTTGGACTGAGTTAGGGTAGCCGCAGATGCGAGGTTATTTCCGCATCTACGAGCTCGTAGATTCGACGAATGTTCCACAGAAGCGGAAGAGGCCAATTGGGCGAAGGGCCGCAGGTGCGGAGTTTGGGCGCGCAGATGCGCATCCGCGGGGGCTAGACCTTGGGTACTGGACTTCAGGAGAGGTCAGGGTTCCGTAGATGCGAGACTGCATGAGCAGATGTTTGTCCGCAAAAGTGGACTTGGCTCGACTTAGTGGGAACCGCACCTGCGATGGGAATTTCCGCAGGTGCGGAGCCACAGAAGCGGCTAATAGACCGCATGTGCGAAGGTCGCTGGGCAGTGAGGTATTTTAAATCCGAGACTTAACCCATTTCTCTCATATTTTCGTTTGGTTGGGCAATATTTGGATCTCTTGGAGGGGAGATTTTTATCATCTATGGCAAGGTAAATTATTCTCAGCTATTGTAATTTAAATACATGGATTCTATAGGGATTTAAACATAAAAATTTGTAGAAATTATGGAATATTAATAGAAAATCTAGAATTTGGTATTTTTGGAATTTGAACACGAAATTGTATATGGAAATTAAAATAAATCATATTTTTGTGTTCGTAATGTTATGGGTAAAGGTTATCTTCGGGAAATTTAGGAATCCGGGTACGTGGGCCCGAGGATCGACTTTATTGATTTTAGAATGGAGTTGGGGATTGTTATGAATTGAGTAATTATGGGTAATAGAGTATATATATTTATAGATTTGCACATTTGTTTGACTAGTTTTGGAGAGATGGACATCGATTTGAGGTGTTTGAGAGGTGTTGGAGCCGGTCATAGAACTTTAGAGCGAGGTAAGTCTCCTGTCTAACCTTGCGAGCGGGAAACTATCCCTTAAGTGATAATTATTATTATGTGCAATTAGTTGTTGGTGCTACGTACGCACGAGGTGACGAGAGTCCGTACGTAGCTAAGTAGGTTTATGTCCGGGTAGACTTAGGACCTTATCACATAATATTTGAATTGTTTGGACTCATTTTATTTGTCGGACTAATTAATTTAATTTACAATTGAACTTGATTTAGAAATAAATATATGTATACCAGGCCGAGCCTTATCACTTTGAGTTGTTGGCTAGTAATTTGAGAAACGATAAAGATTATATTCCTTTTATGCTCATGGCAACGATAAAGATTATATTCCCTTTATGCTCATGGACTGTATTGTATGTACGTGTCTCGTAATTCGATAATTTTTTTCCTTTCTTGTGGAGCGGGCCGAATGCCTCGACAGTATAATAGATACATCTATGGTTTGTGCCACTCGAACTTCGACAGTATAATAGATACATCTATGGTTTGTGCCACTCGAACCTCGACAGTATACACATTATTCTTGATCGGGCGGAACGACCTCAGCAGAATCGGGCGTTATATCGCTAGTAGTCCGAATACTCCTGAGCTAATCTTTCCATTGATGCTCGGCATTTCATGTGGTATTCCTTATGTATTTGATATCGGCACTTGACCTTTTTTTTTGAGCTGTTAAGGTAGAATACAAGATCGAGAAATTCATACTTTAAAAGAAATATTTGGAAGATTATGTAACTTACAGATTTGCCCCACTATTGTTGTGCACTTCATATCTGTTATGAATTATTATATTATTTTATTGGACATCTAGTAAGTGTCGATATCGACCCCTCGTCACTACTTCTCCGGGGTTAGGCTAAATAATTACTAGGTACGCGTTGATTTACGTACTCATGCTGCACTTCTGCACTAAATATGCAGGATCTGACAGGTTTATTTGGTGATCATCTTGGCGCGTAGGCGCACCTGTTGAGGGGCCTTTATGTAAGCTGCATTCCAGGCTACGCATCACAGTCCACCGAGTCTCCATCGTACTATGTATTTTATCCTGTCTATTTACATTCTAGACAGATATTGTATTATTATTATTATTATTATTGAACTCCTTAGAAAATACTCATGCACTTGTGATACCGGGTTTTGAAAATTCCTACGGGTTGTTCATTATTGTAGTTCGTGTAAATATTATCATTTATCTTATAAATTTTATTTTATACTATTTAATTAATAAAAATTATGATTTCAAAGTAATTAAATGAGTAAACTAGTCGATCAATCACCATTGGCTTGTCTGACGGCGATATTAAGCGTCATCATGACCTATAATAGATTTTGGATCTTGATATTATCTCTCTTATTTAGCTGGAGCTTTTGATATCTATATCAATTATTCAAAAAGTTTCCTGAAATTCAAACTAAGTTTATTATATTGGTGATTGATTTGACAACTTTTTTGGAGCAGCTCAAGTATTGTTTAAAACGTTTTTTTTCATCAAGTAATTGGTTTAGCGGACCTAAGCTATAGATAAAGTTAACATTGAAATGGTTTTGAAAAAATGCACGCGATGAAATGAAACTTCATTTCCTTTCACTTATTTAACTTTTAACCGACACTTGTTGGCACGCTTGAGTTTAAAATAAATGAGAATAGCCATTTGAATTAAGGGAGAGATTTGAGATGATAATTTAGTGGGGCCTACATAGTCATTAATAACTTAAATATGTGATAAACGTGTAAATTGTGAAGGATGGTGCGAAATGACAAATTTAAGTGGGGCCATCATGATAGTCTTCATGCAATCAAAATGGACCTAACGATTTGGCCTTTGAAAATGCCTCAAAATTTGGAATCTTTACCCAAATAGCGATCCATATTTATTGTTTATTTTTTTTAGCCATAAATTATATACATAATTATACACATATAATACATAAATTATACATATATTATACCTCTATCGGCTATTTTTAGTTTAAGTGATTGGCTATTTGGGTTAATTCTTCTCAGAATTTTCCTTTATTTCACTAAATTGTGCGATGGCATTAACGTAATAATATACTAAATCAGGGGTGAATATATATTTTTGGCTAAAGCATGCATGTCAACAAAGAAGTGTCTGCTTCACCTGTTTTACTGGCACTTCTTATATAAAAAAAATAAAGTAGAAAGTAGAAAGAATATGCAGAGGAGAGTGTATATAATTAAAAAGATTTTTTTGTAATTCAAACTATGTATAGTTTTACAGTGGAGCATATGTTAGTAGCCTTATTCAATTTGTAAAATTGCTATTGGTCAAGTTAATTTACAATTCTCACAATCTTCTGCAGAATGAATGGAGTTGATAATTCTAGATATTTGGATTCATTCATGCTACTTTGTTTTTGTTTTATTTTTGGATGGTTGGAGAGAGAAAGGGCTTTTATAATATAAAATGCATTATTTAAAAATTAAGACAAGCCCCACAAGGATTGATAGAAAGAAAAAAAATAATTTAAGATATAATAATGAAAAAATAACTATCAAACAATTGTAATCCATAATTCTAGAGCCTCATCAATCATTAGAGGGGACGGTCTATAAATTACACCCCTTCGAATAGCAATTATATGCTCACAAAAACATTTCATAAATCATAAAGAGCTATTATTAGCATGGCGTTGCTTAGGTTTGCTTTCGTTCTAACCTTTCTTCTCATAACAACCACTAGTTAGTTTCTATCTCTCTTATCTCTATATAGCAATTTTACTTATTGTGTTTGCTACTCTATATATATGGTTACATAAGTGATTGTGTACGTACATATGTGTATATGCGGAGTCGGAGTTAAATTTGATGAAAGGTGGTTAGTTGAACATATTTTACAAGAAAATTATAGTGTATATATGTCAAATATTACTTTTTATACATATATATTTAATCCCGAATACTATTAACGAAACTTTTCAGTTGACGTGCCATGGCTCTCAAAGACACAAGTACTGGCTACACGGGATATTGATCGTGATCTCAGAGGACTTGAGAAGAGCCTACTCTCAACACTTAATGTTATGACTTGTGGGAGGGATTGTGTTTACAATGATTGTAAAGATGATTGTTGGATTTGCTGTAGATGTGTTAGATCTAATTGTGTGTTATAATGCAAATTATTGGTAGATTGGCACATTAGTGTCCAATTGCAACCAACCCTACAACCCCATATTATGTATTTACCTTTTCTCGTGTGATTTGTGTGTTTTCCTCATCTTTTCTTGCTTTGTACGAAAATAATAATAAAACTTTCTAGTTTTATTTGTAATCATAGTTGAACAATGTTGGTTGAAGAATGAACTAGAGGTTTGGTGGCGCTAAAACATTGCATATATTCCGACCTTTGAGTGTCTCATATTTATCTCATGGAAATAATGAATCTTAAGTCAACTTATTATTTTTAGTTTCAACAATTGAAAATTACCAAGATATCTTATATTGATTTAAGCCTTTGAATGGATCAATTTGGGTACACCCGTGAAGGTAAAAACTTAATCGCGTACTATGTTAATTTATTATCTTGCATATACATATTTATTACTTAACTATGATTAAGTAATATGTATTTTCATTTTAATTATCTGTTAAGATTATATTATTGTATTGGGTAAAATATGTTACGATACGTGGCCACCAAAGAAGGAGACACGTGAAATCGAAGTCGGGAGAACAGAAAATCGGGCACATCTACCTCGTGTGTCACCGAAAAAGGCAAGTCTATAAAGGCATTAAGCATGATGCGCCCGGTAGCATTTAATGAAGAATATTCACAGCATTAAAGAGTAACGGCTCATTATAAGAATTTGGGCATTTATGTTTACCGTTAGGTTTCCATTACTGTACTTCAATAATTGTCATTAATGGTGGGCCCAACCATTACACCCACTAAGCAATAAATAATATGCTCAATGATCATTGTAAGATACCATTTTCTAAACATCAAAGAATTCTTCTAAGACAGCATCTTGATACTATTTTTCTGTCTCTAGCTTGTTGTTCTTATCATCATCGTGGCTGGAAACTCTATCCCCAGGCTCTCCATATCTATCGTTTTATCTACATTTGAGCCAAGTATCTTGCATCCAAATTGAATGATTCATTATCTTATGGGATCAAATTGATTCATTTGTCTAGAAACCACGAACAAATTTAATTATACTATTTTTCGGGTAAACAGTTTGGCGCCCACCGTGGGGCCTAGACAGTCGTGTGGTTAAATTGATCCTTACCTCTTTCACTCACAAGCTTTGATTGTTCTTGTCTTAGCAAAATCACAAAGATTGGCAATCAATACCACTAACAATACTCACAATCCTGAGGTTCAAGGGGAACACCCTCATTTTGAGGACTTAATCAGCGACACTCGCAATGAAGGGGAAGATGCCACGCCGGTGTATGATGGGCAGTACCCCAGACGAGTACGGGACGCGACTCCAGATGATGCTGACCAGGGGCATGTAGCAGACGCGGTGAGGATCCTGCAAGAGCAACATGCAATCATCCTAGGCCACCTGACGTGACAGGATCAGGTTATGATGGAGTTAAAACAGGCGTTATTGGGCGCTTCAAATAATACAAACAAGCGAGATCTAGTTCTTCCCGCTGTTCCTACGAACCAAACAACGTAGAGAGTCAACAACAACACTCCCATAGGCGAAGTTGGCTCCGACGAGGCTGGGGGAGAAAATTTGGACTCAACAGTGACAACCACCCATTCAAGGAAGAACTTTTGCGGTTCATGAAGGAAGTTAATGCCCACATGGATCAGATCCCGGGCGCACCGCCGATATTGAAGGGCCCGAACTCGAAGAAGTATATTCAATTACCGTACAAGCCGAGTGCGGCCCCGAAACTAATCTTTAAGCGGTTTAGAATACCTGAAGTGCCGAAATACGACAGAACTTCAGATCTACAGGAACACATCCCCACCTACACAAACGGTGATGAAAGGAAACGAACTGGCTCCTCACGAAATTGAGTCTGTATTATTAAAGAAATTTGGTGAGACTCTCACGAAGGAAGCCTTGACGTGGTACTCATTACTACCCGAGCACTCCATAGATTCCTTCGAGATGCTCGTAGATTCATTCATCAAGGCACATGCCGGTGCCAGAAATGTACAAGACCGAAAGGCCAACATATTCAGGATCGCGAGGGAGAGTCCGAATTGTTACGAAGGTTCGTTAGCCGGTTTTAGAAGGAAAGGATGTTGTTACCGGTTGTTCCGGACGAATGGGCTACCGAAGCGTTCGCTAAGGGTTTAAACCTGAGGAGTTCGGATGCTTCCCAGAAACTGAAGGAAAGTCTGCTCAAGTTTCAAGCGACAATTTGGGAGGATGTCCACAACCGGTACGAGTCAAAGATAAGGATCGAAGACGATCAGGTTAACTTCCCGCCATCAGCAAAGGGATGGGAAAAGAACAAAGATAAAGTGAAATACGATGCCGACTCATATAGACGAATTTCAAGGGGTCGATTTCTACCCTACGAACGGACGAAAGGTCGTGGCAGGAGCTTCCAGTCGGTTGACAAGTTTATTAATGACAGGAGAACTGATCGCGGGCGGAATAGCAGGCCACTGCTGGATAGGGAGATCCCGGGGCCACGAGGCCCTTCCTATCCAAAGTTATCAGAATATAATTTCAACATCAGTGCGGTGGAATTAGTGTCGGCCATGAGAGATATCAAAGAGGCCCGATTCCCGAGACCGATGAGATCTGATCCCAGATAAATGGACACAAATTTATGGTACGAATACCATGGAACTAATGGATATCAGACTGAGGACTGTCGGCACCTCCGTGAAGAAGTGGAAATGCTATTAAAGAACGGTCACCTCAGAGAATTATTGAGTGACCGGGCCAAGAACAACTATGGCCGGGACAGGGAAGACACGTAAACCTCGAAAGAAGGAGAGAAATCTCAGCGCCAAATGATCAACATGATCTTAGGAGGGAACAAAATTAATGGGATCACTTTCTCGGCCGCAAAAAAGACAAAAGTATCGATGACCTATAGCAAGAGGTTCCGGGAAGATGATATCATGTTCACGGATGAAGACGCGGACGGATTACTACTGCCGCATAATGACGCACTGGTAATTTCTTTAAATGTGTTAAATTTCAAAATTAAACGTGCTTTAGTTGATACAGGAAGTTCCGCCAATATCATACAATGGAGAGCTATGGATCAAGCTAAACTTACCGGGAGCATTGTCCCGACAACAAAGCTCCTTGATGGATTCAACCTCGCAAGCGTGACAACCCGAGGGGAAATTTTACTGCTTACGAATGTCGAGGGCGTAACAAAGACAACTATCTTTGAAGTAGTAGATGGATATATGGGCTATAATATCATCCTGGGGAGGCCATGGCTGCACGAGATAAAAGTTATTCCTTTGACATACCACCAATTGCTGAAATTCCCAACACCCGAGGGGATCAAGCAGATAAGAGGTGATCAATCGGCAGCAAGAGAGATGAATGCGATCTCAGTTTCCCATAGTAAGGGAAAGGAACCTGCGACATAGCAGTTGCCGGAACCGGCTTCCGCCCCCAACCAAAGGGAATTCCCCATGACACATCAGGTACTAAGGTATTTCTAAGTACCGGAAGAAATGGACGTAACATAGTCCACGACAGAAGAAGTGGAGCAAGTTGCACTGTTTGAAAAATTCCCAGAAAGGAAGTTCCATTTGGGAACAGGACTGCACCTAGAGCTCAGGTAAGATTTTATTGAATTCCTTAAAATTAACGTTGATTGTTTTGCATGGTCGCACAAGAATATGACAGGAATCCCAACAGATATAACCATGCACAAGTTAAGCTTGGACCCGAGAATACCTCCGGTAAGGCAAAAGAAGCGCCCTATCGCAGAAGCAAGGAATAAATTCGTCAGAGAGAAGGTAACCCGTCTACAAAAGATTGGTTCAATCTGAGAGGTAAGATACCCGGACTAGCTAGCTAATATGGTAGTAGTTCATAAGAAAAATAATAAATTTTGCATATGCGTAGATTATAAAGATCTAAATAAGTTATGCCTGAAGAACTTGTTCCCATTGCCAAATATCGATCAAATGATCGATGCTACAGTCGGGCACGAGTTAATGAGTTTTCTCGATACCTATTTCGGGTACAATCAGATTAAGATGAACCCAGAAGACCAGAAAAAGTCTTCGTGTATAACAAATTTTGGTACGTATTGTTACAATGTAATGCCCTTCAGACTAAAAAATGCCGGAGCAACTTACCAACGACTCGTAAATAAGATGTTCGAAAAATAAATAGGAAAAACTATGGAAGTATATATAGACGATATGCTCGTTAAGTCTATGGATGAAGGTAACCACCAGAGGCATCTACAAGAAACGTTTAACACATCGAGGGAACATAATATGAAGCTTAACCTCGATAAGTGTGCATTCGGAGTCGGATTAGGTAAATTCTTAGTATTCCTGGTCTCACAGAAAAGAATTGAGGTAAATCCCGATAAAATCAAGGCCATAGAGGACATCTCGGATCAACTATCCAACGTAAAGGAAGTACAGAGACTCACAGATAGATAAGCGGCTTCGAGTAGGTTCATTTCTCGATTATTAGAAAAGTGTCACCGCTTCTTCGCACTGCTCAAAAAGAAAAATAATTTCAAATGGACGGTGTCAACAAGCCTTAAAGGAATACTTGTCAAGCCCTCTATTGCTCTCAAAGCCAAAAGAAAGAGAAATATTGCTGGTCTACCTGGCGGTCTCGGAAGTTGTGGTAAGCACAGTCTTAGTCCGGGGGGATAAAGTTACGCAATCCCCTCACTTATTACGTCAGCAAAATTTTAACGAGAGCAGAAACTCGCTACCCATATTTGGAAAACTTGGCCTTAGATCTCGTGGTTGCCGCTCGAAAGCTGAGGCCCTACTTCTAATGCCACCCGATAGCAGTGGTAATTACATTTCCTTTGAGGAATATACTCCATAAACCTGAGCTCTTGGGTAGATTGGCCAAATGGGCTGTTCAAATGAGCGAATTCGGCATAGAGTATAATCCAAGGAAAACGATTAAATCACAAGTCCTGCCTGACTTCGTGGCCGATTTCAGCTTGGGACTATTACCCCTGGTTGCCAAAGAGGCAATAATGGTGTCGGAACAGACACCGGGAGTCTGGACCTTGTTCACGGATAGAGCTTCAAACGTGAAAGTGTCCGGGCTCGGGATAGTCTTGATCATATCTTCGGGGGAAACCTTAAGGTAAGCTATCGGAACGATTCCTTTAACTAACAAT